GCGTTACATGTGGTTGTTGTGCCCCCAGTGCAGGACCCGGCCCTGAGCCTTGTTGAACCTCATACAGTTGGCCCCGGCCCATCGCCCCAGCCTGGCCAGGGCCCTCTGCAGGGCCTCCCTGCCCTCCAGCAGATCGACACTTCCACCCAACTTGGTGTCATCTGCAAACTGACTGAGGGTGCCCTCGATCCCCTCATCCAGATCATCGATGAAGATGTTGAACAGGACCGGCCCCAGCACTGGGGGACACCACTGGTGACCGGCCGCCAACTGGATTTGACTCCATTCACCACCACTCTCTGGGCTCGGCCGTCCAGCCAGTTTTTAACCCAACGCAGAGTGCACCCATCTAAGCCGTGTGCAGCCAGCTTCTCCAGGAGAGTGCGGTGGGAGACAGTGTCAAAGACCTTACTAAAGTCCAAGTAGACACCATCATCAGCAGTTCAGATCTGAACTTTGTGAACTTGGACATATACTGGGAAAATTCTATCGGGGGAAAAAAAAAAAAAAAAGGAAAGGAAATTGATATCTGACTCTATCTTAATGCTGCTTGGTCCATGGCTCTTAAACGCGTTACTAATACGAGTCAGCTGAAACACTTCCGAGGGAAAAAACCCGCGCTACGTGCTGCGATCCTTCACTGAGCCCCCCTCGCCCCCAGCACAGCTTTCAGGGGGATTCCGTACACAAAGCAACAAGACCAACCATATTTGTTTCAGTCCGCCTCTACCACACCGGTGAGCTGTTCACCAAGAAACCTCCTGAAATAGCTAAGCACTACATCAAAAAACAAAGTTCCGAAAGCGAAGTATTTTATTGTGGAGCAAACAGTACCCAATAGCCCACAAACAAGTGCTCTTTCCTTTTCACACGAACTAAGAAAAAAAACCAAACTAAAACTGAAAAACAACAAAAAAACAACACAAAAGCCACCCAAACAAAAAAACCTCCAAACTCCCCAAACCAGCTCATACAAGTTTTTGAAACACAGAAACTTATTAGTCTTGGAGTTCTCGGAACTGACTGGTCTCACAGCAAGCAGCGTTTAAAATGAAACGTGCATGGTTGCCTGCAACTGCAAATCACTACTGAAAGCTCTTACTGCTGCTGTTAAAGATCATGACTCCAGCCACTGGCATGCTAATTTCTATACTAAATATATGATTTTTTTCCCCCAATATCTTCAGAAACAGAGCGAGAAACCAGTCACTGACCCCTGGCTATTATGTTTATGCACAAAAGCTGTATAGGAGGAGCAGGTCACGCATGGAGTGCATACAATGGCTTCCTGAAGCAAAGGAAACATTATAAAGAAGCAGACTCAGGAAGTGGTGAAATACTGAAAGTAGTCACTAGCTTCCCTGCAAAGATAAGCGTTAACCAACAGAACGCTACTTGTCCTTGTGAAAAGGGGGAGGGAGGAAGATGTAGGAACAGGAGAAAAGGGGAAAAAAAAAAAATATATATATCAGTGACCGCACAAGCTGCCATTTCCAAGGAGCCCAAAAAGCGGCAATGCAAGAGGCAGGTCCTTCTTGCTGAAGTTGAGGCCTAAATTCTGGTTAAAAAAAAAAAAGAAAAAAAAGAAAAAAAGAAGGCTTTACATATACCGAAATGCAATCACCAGACAACTACTGCGCTGGCATCGAACCACCTCGCTCCTGCTGTAGGCCAGGAGCGCAATTGCTCCGCGCTGCCCAGGTCACCGCGCGCTCGCTGCTGCTGGCGACACGCTCTGCCTTCCTCCTGAACGCTGACACGACACGGGCAGAACGGCAACACAAAACCAACCTCGCCTAAGTCGTTATTCAGATCTCATCCGAATCACCTTCCAGGGAAACACTGCCACAAGCAATTGTGGAATAAAAACAGATTTTTTTTTTTTTAAGAGAAGATACATAGCTGTCTTGTTGTTTAAAAACCAGCAATGTCGCTGAAGACCAGAGCCGGCAGCTTCCTTTGTTGGCTGCCCAAAGCGCTCCCCGGGACGCAGCTGCAGGGCAGCGATAGCGCTCGGACAGACGGACGCTTCATTCCAACCGCTGCTGACCTCCAAGCTCCCGCTCCGCAGACCCGCTCCGCCGCAGCCGGCCTTCGGAGGGGGGCGGCTGACGGGGC